GGCCCGGCTTCGAGCAGCTCGCCCAGCAGTTCTTTGCCAAACTTGCCAGCGTGGCCAACCTGCTGGCCATGCCCGGCTCCCAGCTGGTCCAGGTGAGGGATGCCCAGCCAGAGGTTCATGGGATTGGGATGAATATAGGTAGGAGAAACCCCTGCTTGGCGTTTGAGGGTCCCTGCAGCGATACGTCCCTTCTGCAAACTGTAGCCAGCTGCCCCTTGCCGGGGTGGTGGGTCTGTGGGTGGGGATACTGAGAGGATGGATGCTTAGGCTCACTCCATCTTGCCCAGCCTCTTCCCCCATCCCCCTCGCGAGTCCCTGCCCCTCAGAGAGCACAGCTCCTCACCTCTGCCACTGGCACCACGCTCTGTCTCCTTGCTCAGATGACCTGGTCGTCCCTGCGAGCCGAGTTCCCGGCGCTGAGCCCTGCACAGCTCCACCGGGTGCTGAGCCAGTGCCAGGAGGTGATGGACCTGGGCTGTATCACAGCATGGCAGCCCGGCGAGGAGGAGAGCCCAGCCACCTTCCAGCCTGGTGAGCTGCTCTGGTCTTCCCCCTTTGCTGCTCTGGTCACCATGCTTGGGTCACCTGCAGACTCCCTCCAGGGCTTTTCTGTACAAACCAAAGAGCTGATTCCCTTCCCCTCCCTGGGGCTCCTATAGTAACTGCAGCAATCAGGAATAACCATGGCCCCCCATTTGGATATTGCAAAGGATGCAGAGGGCAATCAGAAGAGCTTGGGGCTCTTTCTGCATTCCCAAGTAAAGGATGCTGCTGCTCACAGCTCACTGTGTCCTTGGTCCCCACTGGGGGATAGCATGTGGCCAGGAGGCAGGAGTGGGGTGCAGCCCAGGCCAGTGTTAGCCTCCCTCCCTCCACCTTTCAGATGAGGTGCTGGAGTCATTCGACAACCACCCACCCATCATCCTGCCCAGCGGGGGTTTCAAAGTGGACCTGGAGGTGGAGACGTTGGATGACAACATCTACCGGCACCTCCTTTACATCCGCCACTTCCTCTGGAGCCTGCAGAGCAAGAGCCCCCACAGCAGCGAGGGGCCAGGCTTGGCACCCCCAAAGGTAGTCTGTACCCCACAGAGGGGCTGTTCCTCTCCTGAGTGGGCAGGAGGGTCTTGGGTTCCTCTGGAGAGCCCTCTGAGCCCAGTGCCAAGGGCTTGCTGCCCCCACCTGCAGCTCAGAGCTGCAGTGATGCCCTCACGTAGGGCTGCTGGAAGGATTAGTGCTGCTAATCCCCCAGGCTGGGGGGACAGGAAGGTGAGCTGGAAGGACAGGCTCGTCCCAGCAATCTCGTTAGTGGGGAGGAGAGGCAGGGAGGATGTCTGCAGGCAGCCCTTCCCTTCTCCCTGTGAGTCCCCCCATCCTCCCTCCCCTGCACCCTGCCTGTCCCCACATTGCCAGGCAGGCCTGCACAAAAGCACTAATTAGCTAATGCCTGTAAAGCACAGGGAGGGTGAGACGTGTTGTAGGTGCTAAGTTCAACTGCCATTTATCTCCAGCCTCCTGGGGAGGACGTCCCTCCAGCAGGTCCCCTTCTCCTCTCCCTCTCTGTCCCCATCAACTGCAGCACCCACAGGCACCACTACCTCCTCCTGTCACCCTGGGGCCACAAGAGGAGCTGTGGTCCTCTCGTGTACCCCTCCAGTGAGAAACCCCAACAAGGACATGACCAGGAGACCCTTCCTTGCTGGCTATGACCAAACCCAGCACAACCCTGCCTACAAAACTGGGGTGTAGGAGCTGTGCTGGGAAGCCAGGATAAGCCCTGGAGATGTCCCATTTGCTAAGGCTTTGGCTGGAGCCAACAGCAACCTGCCTGCAAAGCAAAGAGGGGCTGGGGGGCAGGTAAGGGCGTGAAAAGCACATGCAGGGGGTCCCACGGAGCATTTTTCTCCTTCTTAAGAAAGAGGCATGCACGACACCAGATGTCCTGGAGGTGAGTGAGAGCCCAGTGAGAACCTGCACCATCACCCAGGAGGACTACTGCGCCCTGGGGGGCTGTGCTGAGCCCCAGGGGAGCCCCCCACTCCTCCTGGACACCAATGGCTGCCCCTGCGAGGACCCC